CTGCATCCCAGCCCCAGCATGTGCTTTGGATGGACTAAAGCCAGGGGAAAGGTGCTGTTGGAGACTTAAGACATGGTGTATCCCAGGTGTCGATGTCAGCCTGGATGTCCCCGAAAGAAGCAGGCACGTGACCTGCCCTGTGTTCCGTGATTAAGAGGATTGAGGTCACCGGCTGAGGTCACCCCACCCACTTCTCATGTTCACTGTTCACCAAATTTCCTTTAAAAGAAGAGCCCAAGACCCCCAAAGAGCAGCTACGGCTGAGCGGCCCCACCCTTCTTCTGCATGTGTGTCCTGTTCCATTGCTTGCTTTACTGAATGAATCTTGCTCTCCTAAATAAATGCCTGCCTCAGCCAGGGTCTCAGTCCCCTTTCCCTTCTGGGGACCTCCTCAGACCACGATGGGTGACATTCCCCGTTCTACTTTGTATTTTCCCTTCCTTCCTCACTTCCTGCCTCCCACCCTCCTTCCTTTGTCCCTTTCCTCCCAGTGTGAAACACACAGGCTGACAAGTCTTCACATACCTAAACACCCAGCCAGGGGACAGCACACCCAGTGCCCGCGAGGCCCTCTGGCCCAGGACTCACCATCTCACCAGTCTGAGACCCTTGGAGGACCAGTGTCTGCGTGGGGTCCTTAGCCTTGAGGTCTGGTGTGGGGCCTGGCCCATGCCTGGATCTGTGCAGAGCATCCTGAAGAGTAAGAAGTGCAGGTCTTTTGAGAAACCCAGCCTGCTAGTGCCCTTCTCAGGTTATCCCCATTTCCAAACATTTATTCATTCATCCAACAAATATCACTAAACACCTAAAGAAGCCCTGGTGCTAGGAAGGGCACCTGCCACAGTGAGCCAGTTGAGGAGATGGTCTTAGAGACATGATTGGTGAAAGGCCTGGTACCTGTTGTACCAGGAGAGGAGCCAGCAGGGGGAGCCCTGCCCCAAAAATCAGCCACGTAGGGGGGCGGGGAAGGCCGCCTGCTGAGGAAGAACCAGCAACTCAGTGAGGCCTTGTGCACTACCAACTTGAGCTACACCCGCAGGAAGAGGAGAGGCAGGTGCAAGCTGAGGGTGGCTCCTGGCTGCTCTGTGGAGGGGCTTCCCAGAGAGCACTGGCCCCCTGGAGCACTGGCCAACCCGCAGTTGTAGAAAATGGGAGCAGGCCAGGTATAGCTGTCCCCATGGGTTTCACCCTTGTTGGGCAAGAAGAGGTCAGACATCTTCCTTGGAATTGGATGTGTTACTTCAGACCTGCTCTGTATGCACCCACTTTCTCTCTTCCTTACACTTAGGACCAGCGATCTATGCTGGGTGGCATTTAAAAAAAAACAAACAGATTTATTGAGGTGTCCTTACATATCATAACTTTCACCTCTTTTAAGTGTACTCTTTAATTATTTTCAGTCATGTTGCAGAATAGTGAAATCAATTCAAGTTCCTTTGTGTCTTTTAACATTCATTCCACAGGCCCCTCCCAGCCTTGGGCCCTCACCTTCTGTCTCTAAAGCTTTGCTTCTTCAAGACATTTTTATATAAATGTGACTTTTTGCACTTATTTCCTTCAGTTAGGATGTTTTAGGGGTGTAGTACTGCAAAATTTGGTGCATATGTATTTACAGTTGCTATGACATCTTTTTTTTTTGGTGGGGGGAGGTACTGAGGATTAAACTCAGAGGCACTTGACCACTGAGCCACATCCCAGCCCTATTTTGTATTTTATTTAGAGACAGGGTCTCACTGAGTTGCTTAGGGCCTTGCTTTTGCTGAGGCTGGTTTTGAACTTGTGATCCTCCTGCCTCAGGCTCCTGAGCTGCTGGGATTACAGGCATGTGCCACAGCGCCCAGCTGCCATAACTTCTTGATGGTTTGTTCCCTTTATCAATATGTAGTGAATTTCTTTGTCTCTTGACTAATTTTGGCTAGAAGCCCATTTTATGAGGTCTGAGCATTGCTACTCCTGCTGGCTTTCAGATGCCTCTTGCTTGAGACGTCTTTCTCTTTCCCTTCACTTGTGCTTGGTTCATATCTTCGCAGTGAGCTGATTCTTGCAGATTGTTGGGTCTGTTTTACAACCCAGTCAGCCAGTCTGCTTCATTTAATTGGAGAATTGAAATCATTTGCCTTTGGTCATTGTTGAAAAGTATGCACTGAGTCCTGTCATTCTATGGATTTTCTTCTAATTGTTTCATATAATCTACATGAGATTCATTTTTTGCTCTTATTCATCTTAGGGGTTTTATGACTTACTAAATCAATAGTGTTTGGTTCTTTCCACGTTCTCGTTTGCTCATCAACTCTTCTAGGGAGATTCATTCCTTCTCATGTTCTCGTAGTTATCTTGCTTCCTCTTCTGTGTTTCAGATTCTTTGAGTATCTTCTGGAATGCTGGTTTAGTGGTCAGGAATCCCTTTGCTTTATGCTTATTTTTATTTCTTTGACTCTGAAGAATATCTTTGTTGGATATAGTAGTTATTTTCTTTCAGAGCTTAAAATACAGCATTCCTTGTCCTGCCACCTTCAGTTTCTGCTAAGAAATATGTGATTTTGATGGGTTTGCTGTTGTAAGTGACGTGCGGCTTCCCTCCTGCAGTTCTCAACATCTTTTCTTTTTTCTGTACTTTTGGCAGGTGACTGTAATATGTCACAGAGACATGTTTTTCTGGTCAAGTCTCTGTGGGGTCCCAGATTTTTCCTGTAGGTGTGTTCAAGAACATCCATGTGTTCTTGAGATTTGTGGAACTTTCTGCTGTTATTTCATTGAATAGGTTTTCTATGCCCTTAGCCTGTTCTTCTGCTCCTTTATCAAATATTTAAAAGTTTGGCCTTAATTGTGCCCCATTCATCTCATCTGATTTTCATTGATTATTATTTTTTCTGCCTGAGAGTAGCATTTCCCCAACCTCGTTATTCAGCCCTAATATTCTCTCTTCTGCTTGATCTGGTCTATTGGTGAGGATTTTCATTGAATTTTTTTATTTGACTTATTGAGTTTTTAATTTCCAAGTTTTGTTGGGTTCTTTTTCAGAATCTCTACCTCTTTATTGAATTTCTCCTTCACATCCTACATTGTCTTCTTTAATTCATTTGGCTGCTTTATTTGAATTTTCTTTGAGTTCATTAATATTTTAACCTTATTATTTTGAATTCTTTGTCTGTAGTTCATCCATTTCAATATCTTTGGAGTCAGTTACTGGAGAGCTGTCAACCTTTGGAAGAGTCGTGTTGCTTTGCTTTTTTCACATTGTATTTACATGTTTAGATTTTGCATCTGTTGGGATAAGCATCCCTTCCGTTTTACGTGGGGCCATTCTTAAGGAATAGCCTTCTCTCCGTGATGTGCCCTGGGCTGTCTGTGTGCTGTGTAGTGATGAATTTAATTCCAGGAGGACTCAACACTGCAGTTTCCCTGTGGCTCTGCCCGTGATAGTGGACTTTGACAGTGTGTGTGGTGTCAGAGCTGAGGGACCTGCTCTGTCTGAAGCCTCCCGGGCTGGGCTCCCTAGGTAGTTCAGGCAGGTGTGTTGCACACAGCAGAGGGTGAGGGGTGCACTCTCTGTGGCTACTCCTTGAGTCGTGTCAGCAATGTGTTGTCTGCCAGGGTTTGGTGCTGAGGTCCCTGGTAGGTGCAATGTCCATGACCATTGGTTCTTTCTCTGTGCTATTGCTGTGGGGTGAGTGTCCAGAGCAGGCATTTGGCTTTTCTCTCCCCTTTGTTAGAGTTGGAATCTCTGCTGAGGTTCGAACAGGACTAGAAAACATGACGGTCGTAGAATGCCACTTCTCTCCATGGTTTTATGAGTGCAGCGATGCCCTGCTCCAGAAGGAGGAAAACGAACGGCAGTGACACTCACAGCATGGAATACAGCAGGTGTGAGGATGCAGACTGCTGTGCTCTCCACTCTCGCTGTGCCCCCCCTTGTCGCAGCCCACAGTGCCCTCGGCTCACCCCTTCCCCAGCCACAGCTGTCTTTTGTAGCCAATCCACCTACTCGGTGAGGCAGAGTGTCCACAGGGACTCTGAATTGCGGTTCTCTGAGTCTTCTCCTCCCAAGAGCAGTCGAGTCCCTCCCAACAGGACCCTCTCAAGATGGCTCCTGGCCACAGCACTCTGGGAGCTTGCCGAGCCGGATGTTGACTTTCTTCCCTAAAGCCGCCTTGCTCTGTGGGAGACCCTCTCAGGCTGAATTCCTGACCTGGACTCAGCACTGGCATGAACCGTGGATTCTTCCTGCAGTAGGGACGGCTGCTCTGTGGCTATCATCAGGGCTGGTTGCAAATTTCCGGGCATCACCCTTCTGATTCTCATGCCACTTAGACTTACTGTCACTTCTCTGTTGGTCCTGAGTGTTGCCTCCCCCACTCTCCCCAGAATGTAGTTTCCCTGACTCTATATACTTACAAAGTCCCACGAAGGACAATTCTCTTCTTCCACCTTGCTTCTCTCGGACTGTTCAGCCGTCTTCCAGGAGGGTGAACGTGGCTTTGTGTGTGACTGGTGACTTTTGAGACATGCAGGGGTGTTGAGTATAGGGGTGCACTCTCTGTGGCTACTCCTTGAGTCGTGTCAGCAATGTGTTGTCTGCAAAGGTTTGGGAGGGACCTGTGCAGAGGTCCCTGGTAGGTGCAGTGTCCATGACCATCGGATGGTCTGGCAGATGACAATGGATGTCTGTCCACATGCCGGAACCTTTATGAGCCACACCAAGGAATGAAGCTGTGGCCCAGGCTTCAGCTCAGACGAGCCTGGAGACCCTGCGAGCGTGGAAGGAAGCCAGTCAGCAAGCCACACACTGCACGATCCCGTGCACGTGAAATGTACAGAACAGGAATTCTGTAGGGGTGGCAAGTAGATCCGTGGTTCCAGCTGGGGTGGGACTGGGAACCAAGTGCTGATGGGCTCGGGG